GATCTACATTTATTATTTATCGCAGCAGAATGTATCCCTGCTGCTTGTAACAAGGCACTCTGGAGCACCACGTAGGGCTAAATACTTCAGCTATCGTCCTTGAAAGTAGTTGGTGTCTGCTGGTATGTGAGCGATGTGTTAATGATACATTTTATTTATTTCCGGGAAAAGAAACACTTGAACGAAGCCCAGAGCTGGGCAGGATCCGGTGTGAAGGAGAAAATTTTGCCCCTGCCGGGAATTGAATCCGAACCATTTACTGAACTAGCTGTAGGGAGTGCGATCAGCGAGTTCCTCACCCAGAGCACTGGAAGACGCCGCATTTCTCCGCTGATAAGTACTACCGACTAAGGGCGGCTGGTTGTTGGTTGGGGCCAGTTCCTCGGGCAGGCTGAGCACTACGTAGTCGCGGTAAGGTTTCCAACGCCGTCGCACTTGACCGGGACACGTGGTGTTGACGCGAGCGGCCAGCTCCTCGGCCACCTCAGCACTGTGTGCCGTGACGGTAACGCGCGTCAATGTGTACTCAGCCTCGGTTGCCCCGGGCGTCACCCAGGAGCGGCCCCGTAGTCGGTAGCGACCCCGGGCCGTCAGAGTGTAGAGTGCCAGAGTGCACGACTCGTCCCCGTAGTGGAACTGCAGTAGGCGGAAAGTGTGGTTCCTCATAAAGGTGTAGCTTCTCATCAGAAACTCTGGACCCGGACGCACCTCACATCTGAACACACGAAAAAGGATTCATTACACTCACCCAATTGGAAAATACTGTACAGTACTTACAAATGGCGGCTCTGTCTGGAAACACATGCAAGGGATTGAATGTCACGTGGGTGGTCTTGATGACAGTAATCGGGCGGTCTCTTTAATAGTGCCCACCAGCCAAGAAGCATGAATGTAGTCCTTGCTGTTATAAAAAGCTTCAATGTACATTTCGGAATGAAAGATTAATATTTCGAGTTACACCACTATTTTATGTAGTCTTAATGATCAATTAAGATGTAAACAGTGTCGATGGAAACATTTTCGTCCACTGGACAAATAAGGATGACTCTTGATTCCCGTTTAGGAAACCGACAGCACGGAAATACAATAGTTCAATTGAATGTCGAGGTATGGCAGTTATGAGTGGTGTGTGTGTGTGTGTGAATGCGTGGTTCTTCTTTCTTAAATGCTGTTCTAATGAATTACACATCAAATGAGCATATGAACTCTATATTTTGATTTGAATATGAATTAGTGAAATGACAGGCCTAATATAAGCAACTGTAAAATAATTCTGAGGTGTTAGCTGATTGTTTTACGAAACAAGTCTGGCAAAGTGGAAATAGAAACAAAGAAATAATAACTCAAAAGAAGGAGTAAAAGGTAGAGAAACAAACCGAGGGAAAAGAAGGATGAAAATGGAATGAAGAAAGAAGAAAGAAGGAAATAAACAATGAAAGAAAAATAGACATAATTTAATAATATAAAGTTGTCGTCGCAGTATTAACTTCAGTTTACTTCAGACTCATTTTCAGATTTAGTGTAGGTCTATAGGAGGGGTCTGGTTATTTTAACATCTACAGTATTTTAGGTATCCATAATGCTGTGTTGTGTTTAAACCAAAATTGTATAAGGCTCCTTCTACCCAGAACAGCGTTAGACTCGCTCGACTGAGTTAAGCACTGCTTTGATACTCCGCCTGGTTTGTCTGGTTAGTCTATTTGTCCGCAAAAAGACTTTATGGGACGACAGGGTCTAGAACCTTGGATTTCTTGTTGGGAGGCTGTACTACAGTCACAACAACAAGTAGCATTATATTAGGTCACTTTTGCTTCATATTCATCAGTTCAAATCCTGTACTGAAGATTGGATGTTGTAACCTAGGCGGAGAAGGGAGGATAATATATTAAAATTGATCTTTGGGGAATTTGGAAATGAGACTGTGCACCGGATTCACCTGATTCAGGATAGAGGTAACTGACAGACAATGTGAACCTTCCGGTTTCAAAATAGGCGGTACATTTTTTAACTAGCTGAACGAAAATTAAGCTGACTTTTAAAAATTACTTTGCTCCATGTTATTGTTATTCTCTTGAGCATTTATATTTTTGAGTGGTAGATGAATATCATCCGCACAGTTAAATATATTATATTATACTTCCCAAACAAAAACATAAAGATTGCTAACATCTGTTATGGAAAATAGCCATACTATTCATATTAAGGTTACTGCTTTCAGCAAAAGATTTATATATTAATTATATATATTTTATTATATGCCAGGTTTCAGCGCGCGATTCAGTTTCTAGAATGAAACAGTCAAATCGTAATAAAGCAGAAGCTGAGTTAAATCTATATATAAATTCAAGTTTCGTTCTGATAAATTATAATGACAAGACAATGTAATTTCAAGAAACGTCATCATATTTATGTTCTGGGGATAGAAGCGTGAGTGACTGGCATTGCTTGCGTGGTTGCTTTCTGCTACTGTCTGTTCCAGTGGCTCAGCACATGTCTTGTATCTCGTATATGGAATAATCTCTAGTTCCTTGTAAATAGAAACTTGTTCTTAAATATTCTGTTTTGGTCCGTCCTCCACAGTAGCGGGGAGTAGTTCATGCATCAGATCATGACAAAGCCGGTCTGTTCAGGAATTTTACATCACAATGCTCTGACTTGTATCATGAAAAAACTGCATAATTCTCTTCTTCTTGGCTACACTCAGAACCAGTTTCGCACGATTAGTGAATATAATCAGTTCATTACAAGTGCTTTGTTAATTACGCTGTTGTAATAACTTATTCAGTGGTTATACAGATAGTTTATATCAGCTGTTTCAGAACATGTGCTATACTGGAGATGTTTCAGAGCAAGGTAGTGAAGAAATATTTAGACCTGACAGATAAAGTGAGTATGGAGAAAATTATATATTCAGGAGCATTATAATTTGAATTCCACACCAAATATTGTTAGTGATGTAATGGGTGACATATGCAGCACAGCTGGTGCAGATCATAAATTACAATATTCAATTCTAAAGGGTTTTGACGACGGCAGTTTACATTTAAAATTATTCTTTGTCAGGACTTTTTCCATCGTCTGTTCTTTAAAATCACGACGTTTCGAGACCAGTGACAGAGACTAGCTCTATCTAAGGGACCCAACAGAGTAAGTACCTCTCGCCCGAAGACGAAGACAGAACCAGCCTCCGAAACGTCGTGATTTTAAAGAACAGACGATGGAAAAAGTCCTGACAAAGAATAATTTTAAATTACTATATTACACAACTTTCGTGAAAAATCTGTAGGAAAGTGACCACATTGTTTACCTAAATGAAAATGGGAGAATGGTATTAAAACGGGTCATAAGTAAATGAGGTATGAATGCATGGAGTGGAACCAACAGAATTAGGATATGGTCCAGTGACTGACTGCTGCAACCTCGATAACAAACGTTGGTGTTCCCTGAAAGACACTGAGCCACTTTTCAAATGCCAAGCCACACCTGATCGTTTTATATGTTTTTATTTATGTTTTCAAAATGTGATACTTTCAATTAGAAAACTTCTTTAGTAACAGTGTAACTGCCACGATAACCACATTAGTTATATTTTTCACCTGAAGTGCCATCTTTAAACACTCCTTGATGACACAGAAATCACAGAAACTGAGTCGAAAACAGTTTTTCCACAAATTATCAAGGAGAGTCCAGACTTTTTCTTGAGGAGACACACCAGTGGAAAATTGTCAACAGAACAAGGAAGTTAATATCCGCACATATAATATATATCAATACAACAACATATGACTACGAATCAAGATTATAGTGGACGAAGCTTCGTGCATATTTTAATAATAATTTAACACAGGCTTGGCCAAACATATAATTGACTGTATCCATCAACTTAATAGTGTATTGTGCGTAAGGACTCAAAGAACAGAAGGTCGTATGTAGAATTCAAAATATTTCACCTGTAGTGTGAAGTGAAATGATTGCATGGACTTGTAAATTGTACAAATTCTTGTTGTTTGGGGACGAAGATATAATATATTTTGTCTTTATTACTACACATAAAACATGGCTCTAAAATACAATATAAAGATTGAGGTTGTTTGGGAACTAGGTGTTAAGGAAATACTTAGACCTCAGAGGGACGAGTTCACATGAGGCTGGAAAAAACTACATCGTAAACAAATTAAATATTTGTACTCTTGAAATATTGTTAAGGTGATCAAACCAAGTTGGATAAAATGGGCAGGCAGTGTAACACATATGAAAAAATGAGAAATTCATTCAATATTTTGGTCTGAAAACACCGATTAGTATTCTTGGGCCTACATGGGGAGATAATACCATAATGGGTCTCACTGTGGGCTGGATCAGATAGACTCCAAGATCAGTGTCGGGCTGGTTCCATAAATGGCGGGGAATTTCCCAACCGAGCAAATATGAATTACGCAATCAATACGCTGTACTTCATAATACATGGTTAAGCATTTACAGAACTACAAATGCAAAAAAGTGACAAAAGACTGAATTTACAGTTTTTCAGCTGCATTAGAATTAGAGGGTCATTATGAATGTCTAATTAGGAACAGTATGGTCGTAAGAGGACATGGCTGATTTAAAATATTATCCTGCCATATACTGAAGAGACTGAGGAATATCACGGCTTCCGTGTTTGAAAATAAAGCTAGAACCTTCTGAATATTGATCACTCAACAGAGAATTTTAGTATATTTCGAATATATGTACTTTTCTCAGAGAGTGTTAACGTCAGTTTTTTTATTTTTAAATTTGTTGAATAAAGAGTGCAGATGTTACGAGCTGAAACACAATTTGTTCCATTTAGACAGAAATCAGACCCCGATAAACGCACCCTTATGCACCCCTATCGTTAAGGGTAAATTGATTCCACCGCATTCACTCTATGACAGCTGAAATGCCATCAACGATTGCATTTTCTGTAAGTTCGGAGACTCCCTTCGCCACCGTCCTGTTACACCAGGGTTCTGGGATTGTTTAGGGGTAAAATTCTGGTTAGCTCGTAAATGACTAGTTTAGTCCTGAAAGGAGATAGAGTTTGTGGGACTGACGTTGTTTATGTGGGGTATCAGACGAAATACAGGATCCCTCGAATCCTTAACTAAATAATCCTAAAAGCTTTTCGAGAATTCGCCCACACGCTACTAAAGATATACATACAACACGCTAGAGTAAATTGTGGTTAGAAACTACTTCCTTTGCAAGAAACTAAATTATACCTCTCTCCTAAAAAGCGGGGAATTTAACTGTTAAAACTGAATGTTTCCAGGCACTGTTAGTTCTTGTGAGAATAACTGTCGGTCAGACCGAATAATAATTCCACAACAGTCAGTGGATGCATACTATAAAATGGTACGTTTGGATATTCGTCTCAAACGTTTTCCTGATCAATGGAAACATTAGTAAAATAAATTGCATAATAATGATTAGCCTACAACAGTAATTGCTTCGAGAAACACTGATTTAGGACGTCACATTTGTTTGCAAAGCGTGTAAAAAAAGTTTTTTCTCTTTGTACGTGAATTAGAGACGAATTACGGGGCTCTGGTTAATAAATGAAACCAACTTACAAAATTACAAAATTAATCAAGATAACAATAAAAAATATAAAACACACATATATATACACATACATATTATTAATCTCTATGGTCTATGTCAGTTAATTAGTCCTCCAATTTACATTGCCGT